TGAACAAAATCTGGCTACCAGTATTAAAAAACTCAAAAATTACAACAGCAAAACAGCAGAGAGGAAACAACCTCTCAACAAAACATTCCCCCAGGCTCAGCCAGGCCTTCAAAGGCTAATGAAGGTGGTCAGTTGAAACATTCACACCTAGCTCCAGCAGAGAAAAGCTCTTTGCCCCACCCCAGCCATTCCACAGATATATAAACCCATTGTCCTAATTCCAACAGACCTCACTACCTCTGAGGATGCTTGCCATAGATGCAGGCGAAACGTCAGGAAAAATGCCTCTAGAACATGGCCATATAGCCCGAAAAAACCCACAAGAACCTAGTGATTCCAGCCATGAAAGCCTTCAACAATACATTAAATCAATACATGTTTGCCAAGTCTCCTTTTCTGCAGAAGTGGCATACTCTCAGCTTCAACTGAATGGACAAACATCCTGAGCTCATCTTTGTGACAAATGGGATCCTCTGTCTTGCATAAACAGGCAGTCCCCAAGTTATGAACAAGAAAGGTTCTGTAGGTGTCCTTAAGTTAAATGTCATGACCCCCTTTTCTGATATTGTGGGGGACCATAAAAGTAGGCCATGCTTTGCCCGTTAGCACACCTGAAGCAGATATAGAGGAGTGATTGTCTCCATGGAAACGCAGCAGGCACGGTGAAGGGAAGGGTCAGGGTGAGGGATATCAGGAGGAGCGAGGAGAGAAACTCTCAGATGAAACTCATGGACCGGATGCAACCCTTACAGACAAGTGGCATGCCAACTGAACGTCTTTCCAGCCCTGATAAATGTGATATCTGTCCTTTATTCCACCAGTAGGATCATGTAAACATCACAATAAATTTGCTCCAAGTCTGTCCTGTCTGTTGGCTTATAATCTACATCCAAAGTGGACTTCTTGGCCTTATAGTCTTGTCCACCTTAATCAGGGAATATAATCTCTGGAAATGGAATCCATTAAAAACCTGCCACTTCACCTAGCACATTCTACCATCCCTCCATTTGGTTTAATAGTCTCCAGAGCTTTCCAAACTGTGTGTTGCTAGTGTGTTGGCTTCGATGTGCAGGTGTGTCGTACGAATGTAATGAGAAACCTCTGAATCTATGGGAAACAATCAATAAATCATAGTTATTTAAGTATATAAATGAAAGGTTTTCATGACATATGTTTTATCTCAATACATTTCGTTATTCCAGTTATGTATATGCCTATACCTCTTATAAGAAGTTGGCTTAACTTAACCTCTCATTTTCTAGCAAAACATAATTATTGTGTAGTGAAATAATGCATGTCTAAAAAGTGTGTCATCAACATGAAAAGTTTGGAAAGTTGTGCTCTAGAACCATTTCCCATGTCATCTTACTCCAGAACTATGCAGCAAATCTGGGTCAGAAAGTGCTCCTTAACATCCTCTCTTCCGATTTTATTTTTAAATTTTCATTGTACAACTACATGTGATGTACAAGACTGAGATTAAGGCCTTTGCTGATTTTTTCTCTTTGTAGGATTTTCTTGTTATAGCCTTTTTCTTGTTTTATCTCCATTGACTTTGGGCACATTATAACAGACAAACAAGCTGACTGGTGGCCCATTTTTATCTGACTTTATAACCAGCATTCCACCCAGCCTTTTTATGATTAAAGCTTTCACAGCTGAGAATAGCCCAAACCTCTATAGCCCATGCTACACTTTACTGGGCTTTGTAATTCAGAAAGGTCACTTTATCAGCAACCCTCCTGCGCACAAAAATATGCCTGCCTATTATTAGGACTAATGAAATGGAAATGCAAGACAGCACATATAATCAGAATGCTTTTTAGACAAGCTGGCCACACACAATAGGAGGGAGAAAGCTGTGAACTGCAGCCATGTTAAAGATGCAATCAGCCCCTTTTCCGAGTTTGTATACTAAAAAGAAGCTGATCAGGGGATTGTCAGATAATGGAAAACTCTTGTTTGCTTTTCATTTTAGACTCTTTCAGCTTTTATTATTATGGTATCTCAGTGTTCACTAGATTAGGCTTTGGTGTTACTGTTTTATTTCCTATTCTCTCTTTACAGTTAAAAAGGTAGCAGGAGAGGAAACATGAACATTGTGGTTATTTTTACAGAAGGTGTTTGAGTTTTGTTTTCTAAGATTGTGAACGAGGACAGAATTACAGAAAATGAGCAAAATGTTCTTGTGTGTCTTCAAGTCATTTCTGGCTTATGGTGACCCTATCAGAGTTTTTTTGGGGCTGAGAATGTTTGA